TTTTTTTCCAAAAACACAACTGGCAACTTATTTTTCCAGTAGTTAAAAGATCAGGTGTTGTAGTTAAAAGATCAGGTGTTCTTTCTAAAAGTTTTCTACCACCGACTTCAGAGTTCATGTAGCGATCAGAACTTAAATGTTTTTCATATTATCCAAACATGCTCTATATTAGATTTCCAGTTAAAAAATAATAAGGTGAAATTCACTAATTAGTCAAACCACAATCTTCGTTTCAACATTTAATAGCTTGTTCATCAATGCACATAGAAATGTATGCCAACATAGGATTAACACTAACTCTAATAAAACATCATCCACGAACTGAAATTCTCTATATAAAAAGTCACACATATAAACATATGTACTCGGACAGAAGAGGAGTATAACAAGAAAATTATAATAGAGGAGTTAAAATACTATTGGAGAGACAAACAGCTACTAGTTATCCAATACTGCTACCACAATTTATATCCACATTAAACATTTGCTTTTCTATCCCAACTCCATCTTTTATATGGTAAAATAAAACATTCTAGGAACTTTAGACTGCAAAGACAATTATATGTAAATTCTATTATGGAAAAGGCAATGGAACTAACTGTGGGTACAAAAAACTTCGAAATCTGGTCAGCTAACTTCTGAACAGGTGCTTTGGCAAGCTGAGCAGCTTCAACTAATTGAACAATTTGCGAAAGTGCAGTTTCTGAACCAACGTGAGTGGCCTTGATAAGTATACATCCATTCTCATTCACAGTCCCGCCAATCACCTATTTACGGGGCCTATTATATATACATATGTATAAGAACTTAAATTGATGGCCAAAGAGTTATCCATACCTTATCACCAGGCTTTTTAGCAACGGGACTGGCTTCTCCTGTAATCATGCTCTCATTCACATAACTTTGACCATCAACAACAATACCATCAGCAGGAACTTTGGCTCCCGGAACAATCTTAAGTATGTCATTTTTTTGTATCAGTTGTGTGCTAATTTCCATTTCTGAAATGACATTTCCATCACCATCTAGTGTTAGAAGGTAAGCCATGTCCGGAGCTAGGTCTGTCAACTTAGCTAAAGCATCTGATGTTTTTCCTTTCGCCAAAACCTCCAGATATTTTCCCAAGAGAATGAAAGATATCAACATGGAACTAGTCTCAAAGAAATCCTGCCCCTCAAATGACTCTGAAGTCAATGCTTTTATCATTATATATATCGAATAGAAATAAGCAGCATTGGTTCCCAAGGCAACAAGAACATCCATATTAGCAGATTTCCGTCTCAGAGCATGATATGATCCTGCATAAAACCTGATAAGGTAATAAAGAGTTTAAGACCAACTGATGGTAAGATTCTTAAGCATTCTGTATATCGGCAGCCAAAATAAATATGAAACTTGGAAATATATGTATCTACAGAGATAGATTATAATACCTTCTGCCTATTATAAACTGCACGGGTGTGCAAAGTAACCATCTTAAAACTACCCCAACACTTAGCATATTGATAACCTTGTAGTCTAACCAATTTCCATATGGAGGAAGCATTGGAAGTACCATAGAAGAAACAATTATTGGAACCGAAAATAGGCAACTCCAAAAAAATTGATTCCGATATGTAAGGATCTCATGCTGTCTCTCTGTTTCTCCTCCTCTAGGTGGAGTGTACAAGGTTGCCTTATAAGGGTTGTCTCCGTTGCCACCTTGCTCGATGCACTGTATCAGAGTTCTTGGACCAATAATCTCCGATTCATAACTTATAGTCACCTTATGCTCATCCATATTTGTTTCAACGTGATTTACACCTTCCAAAGACTCGAGTGAGTTTTGGATAGTAATGAAATCATCATCAGAAGTGACTCCTTCCAGTTTTAAATGTACTTTATTCACATCACTTCCAGAGCTTATGAGATCAGCTCCAAAGCCAGCATCTTCTACGGCTTCAATTATACGGTTGGTATCAGTAACACTCGGATCAAAATGGACTTTAGCTTCTCCAAGAGCTAAACCAACAACCGCATTCTTCACTCCATCAACCATTAAAAGGGCACGTTCTGTTGACTCAGAACAGCTTGTGCATGCCATACCTTTAATTCTGAGCCGGCATATTGCAATTTCTTGCTCCGGAAACTCCTCAACTTCAAAACCTGTGTCTTCCACTGCTTCTTTTATAGTTTTTGCCTGATAGACAGTATATTATTAATATTTCCCACAAAATAAAGAAGAAAGAAAAGAAAAAATTTGCATAAAAATTTACCTCCCGTTTGGCCCCCATTTTTTGGTAATGAAAATGAGAGGAATAGTGTTTTTTTTAAAAATGATTGGTTGAAAAAGAAGGGAGAGTTTTCAACTTAAGTGTAATATTATTTTAGGAAGATTGTGTGGTTGAAAATAGGAGAGAAAGAAATAGAATGTAATTTAATGGGAGCCAAATGGGGGCTTAAAGGAAATAAGGAATTCAAACCTATAAAATTTCATGAAGCATGTACATGGAAAGCAATTTCCTGTTCTTCTATTTTCCTTTAAGAAATTTCAATTAATGAGCATGAAAAGGTAGATGTACTGAAAATCTGAATGTATTTTCCTCGAAAGCTAACTGTTTATTCCCAGGTGGTGGAGTATTTGACTTGCAAAACTACGTAATTCCCCTTTTTAAAGCTATAAAAGAAGTCAGTGATGCAGTTGGCAACAAGAAACTGAAAAAACTGGGAAATCAGCAAAGAATAACACCAAAAAAAAAAATTTTTGAAAAATATCTGCACTGGAATAGTCCACTGTAGTTGCACTCTGACATCTAAACTGCGAAATTCATCCGCCAATGTAGCATTAAACTTGACTTACGCTTATGAGTTGTGGTAGGTACTTCACTACAGCCTGGCCTTGAAGCGCCGAGACCATAACACTCTGGACACCTTCCAACTTCCCAAGTGCAGATTCTATGGAAGCAACACAAGATGCGCATGTTATGCCCCCAACTTTGAAGGAAAGGGTCCTAATCTTCTTGTTTCCGCCATTATTTGGGGGCGCAATGGTGACAACAGAACCATTTTGATGTTTCAAAAGTGGTGACCTCAAATCATCCTTTCCATTCACTTCCATTGCTTTGCTTCAAAAAATGACAATAAAGAATCATCAACGTAGCATGACAATTAAAATTCTAAAAATATCATATTCGGCTCAAACAGACTGTTTGATCAATAAATCCAAGTCAAACAACTGATCGAATTATCTATTCTGTATTATTAGTTAACATTATCGGTTTATCGTCTGTTTAACTAACTAAAAACATCATTACTGAGCAGCAGTTGGTAACAACCACAGGATATCCAACATCTAGACATAAAATACAGAAACAGTTCCAAGAATCTGTTATACATGCTCTAAAATTTCAACTTAAAAAAACCAAATTTGAATACAACTTTCGGAAGTTTTTGCATTCAATATATAGTAAGCTTAACCAGAACTGAAACCAAAGTATTGTCCAGTTGCAACAAAATCAAAATTCCACAAAAATGATAACCAAAAACTCCAAAAGAATAAATAATCTTGAATTAAATGCAATTCTTTGCACATGTTCTTACGTAGATGCAACAAAATCGCGCAACATATAAAAAATTCCAGCTGCTGGATATCAGGAAAATTCTAGAAAACAAAAATATTGACCTTAGCCTAATAGGGAGCCTTTATCAGTGCTTGCAAATTATGTATAAACAGCGTACCTGATAAATATTTATTGTAGAAGAATCGCGTGAAGAATTATTCCCCTTTTTAGCAGAAAAAAATTGGTAGGTTTTCGAAGCGTTTCGTTTGGTATAGCAAAAAAACGCTCGAGTATGCAATAATGGGAAGGGAAAAGGGAGAAGAAATTAGGGTTTTACGCGTAAACAGAGGCCGGCAAGGTTAGCAGAAGGTTTCTCTTGTCATAGCAAATAGAAGGCTGCCGTAAAGGGCAAGTTGAATTTTGAAATTATTGTCGTTTTATATTGTAGGGTGGGGTGGGTTGCGAGGGCGTGGGGTGGAGTGGGGTGGCGTGGGTAACGCAGAGAGAGGAGGAGAACAAGAATTAATTTTATTTATTTTTTAATTATCATTTGGGAAAATTGCACGCCCCCTCCCCAAAAATTGATCAAGTAGTCAATCTCTAAAAGTGAGCAAATTGGTCTTCAAACTTAAGTTTGTTGTCCCAATTATGTAGTCTTATTTCTTTATTGGGAATATTTTGTTTTGTTTATTTACTAATATTCTATTATTTAGAGCCTGTTTGAGCCACATTATAATGAGAATGAGAAATAGAGTTGTTATGGGCCCCACATCAGAGATAGAAATTCAAAAATGGTGGCTTGATGTGGTGTACTTTATTCACATCACTTCCAGAGCTTATGAGATCAGCTCCAAAGCCAGCATCTTCTACGGCTTCAATTATACGGTTGGTATCAGTAACACTCGGATCAAAATGGACTTTAGCTTCTCCAAGAGCTAAACCAACAACCGCATTCTTCACTCCATCAACCATTAAAAGGGCACGTTCTGTTGACTCAGAACAGCTTGTGCATGCCATACCTTTAATTCTGAGCCGGCATATTGCAATTTCTTGCTCCGGAAACTCCTCAACTTCAAAACCTGTGTCTTCCACTGCTTCTTTTATAGTTTTTGCCTGATAGACAGTATATTATTAATATTTCCCACAAAATAAAGAAGAAAGAAAAGAAAAAATTTGCATAAAAATTTACCTCCCGTTTGGCCCCCATTTTTTGGTAATGAAAATGAGAGGAATAGTGTTTTTTTTAAAAATGATTGGTTGAAAAAGAAGGGAGAGTTTTCAACTTAAGTGTAATATTATTTTAGGAAGATTGTGTGGTTGAAAATAGGAGAGAAAGAAATAGAATGTAATTTAATGGGAGCCAAATGGGGGCTTAAAGGAAATAAGGAATTCAAACCTATAAAATTTCATGAAGCATGTACATGGAAAGCAATTTCCTGTTCTTCTATTTTCCTTTAAGAAATTTCAATTAATGAGCATGAAAAGGTAGATGTACTGAAAATCTGAATGTATTTTCCTCGAAAGCTAACTGTTTATTCCCAGGTGGTGGAGTATTTGACTTGCAAAACTACGTAATTCCCCTTTTTAAAGCTATAAAAGAAGTCAGTGATGCAGTTGGCAACAAGAAACTGAAAAAACTGGGAAATCAGCAAAGAATAACACCAAAAAAAAAATTTTTTTGAAAAATATCTGCACTGGAATAGTCCACTGTAGTTGCACTCTGACATCTAAACTGCGAAATTCATCCGCCAATGTAGCATTAAACTTGACTTACGCTTATGAGTTGTGGTAGGTACTTCACTACAGCCTGGCCTTGAAGCGCCGAGACCATAACACTCTGGACACCTTCCAACTTCCCAAGTGCAGATTCTATGGAAGCAACACAAGATGCGCATGTTATGCCCCCAACTTTGAAGGAAAGGGTCCTAATCTTCTTGTTTCCGCCATTATTTGGGGGCGCAATGGTGACAACAGAACCATTTTGATGTTTCAAAAGTGGTGACCTCAAATCATCCTTTCCATTCACTTCCATTGCTTTGCTTCAAAAAATGACAATAAAGAATCATCAACATAGCATGACAATTAAAATTCTAAAAATATCATATTCGGCTCAAACAGACTGTTTGATCAATAAATCCAAGTCAAACAACTGATCGAATTATCTATTCTGTATTATTAGTTAACATTATCGGTTTATCGTCTGTTTAACTAACTAAAAACATCATTACTGAGCAGCAGTTGGTAACAACCACAGGATATCCAACATCTAGACATAAAATACAGAAACAGTTCCAAGAATCTGTTATACATGCTCTAAAATTTCAACTTAAAAAAACCAAATTTGAATACAACTTTCGGAAGTTTTTGCATTCAATATATAGTAAGCTTAACCAGAACTGAAACCAAAGTATTGTCCAGTTGCAACAAAATCAAAATTCCACAAAAATGATAACCAAAAACTCCAAAAGAATAAATAATCTTGAATTAAATGCAATTCTTTGCACATGTTCTTACGTAGATGCAACAAAATCGCGCAACATATAAAAAATTCCAGCTGCTGGATATCAGGAAAATTCTAGAAAACAAAAATATTGACCTTAGCCTAATAGGGAGCCTTTATCAGTGCTTGCAAATTATGTATAAACAGCGTACCTGATAAATATTTATTGTAGAAGAATCGCGTGAAGAATTATTCCCCTTTTTAGCAGAAAAAAATTGGTAGGTTTTCGAAGCGTTTCGTTTGGTATAGCAAAAAAACGCTCGAGTATGCAATAATGGGAAGGGAAAAGGGAGAAGAAATTAGGGTTTTACGCGTAAACAGAGGCCGGCAAGGTTAGCAGAAGGTTTCTCTTGTCATAGCAAATAGAAGGCTGCCGTAAAGGGCAAGTTGAATTTTGAAATTATTGTCGTTTTATATTGTAGGGTGGGGTGGGTTGCGAGGGCGTGGGGTGGAGTGGGGTGGCGTGGGTAACGCAGAGAGAGGAGGAGAACAAGAATTAATTTTATTTATTTTTTAATTATCATTTGGGAAAATTGCACGCCCCCTCCCCAAAAATTGATCAAGTAGTCAATCTCTAAAAGTGAGCAAATTGGTCTTCAAACTTAAGTTTGTTGTCCCAATTATGTAGTCTTATTTCTTTATTGGGAATATTTTGTTTTGTTTATTTACTAATATTCTATTATTTAGAGCCTGTTTGAGCCACATTATAATGAGAATGAGAAATAGAGTTGTTATGGGCCCCACATCAGAGATAGAAATTCAAAAATGGTGGCTTGATGTGGTGGATAACGGTCATATTTTTCATTTTAATGAGGTAAAAATGTGGCTTAAATAGGGGCTTAATTTGTTTAGTTATAACCAATTTTTTTCACTTCTTGTATAAATTTAAATAAGGATAAATTAGGAAAGTTTTGGCAATTTTATTTTTCAATAATATTAAATAAGATTTATTAATCAATGTGATAAACAAAATCAGTCAATGTAAATGGGACGAGTGGAGTATAATACATCATACATGATGAAAACCAAGCAAGCACATGCTTGGTGAGGGTTGAAATCATATTCTTAATGAATTTTGAAAAAGTTGAAGAAATATGTTGTTAAAAAATTGCAGATTTCATGAAATGGGTTATTAAAATAAATTAAAATTAAAATGCAAATAGGGTCTAAATATGTCGTAATTATCATGCTCTCCTCGTGAAAATATGTGCACTTCAATATTTTTTTTATTTTTGTATCAGTCCAAGCCGAGAGATATAACTTAGTTTTTTAGAGCTAGAAATTATATATATATATAGTTTTCATCCGTACAATGCACGGGCTATCATTTTTTAGGTAATATTAATAGGCCAAAATATTTATTTATTTTTCTCAATAAATCTACAAATTTGATTAATTGTTGCGTAAAGGAATGGAGAAAATATATATATATATATATTTTTATAGATGTTGCGTAAAGGAATGGAGAAAAGTAGAAAAAATAGTATAACAATCTATAACTCATATAAATTATAATGTGATAATAATTTTATTAGGAATTTGTACGTCCAAAAAGAAAAATAATTGACGTCATTCACATAAAAAAATTTTAAAGAAAATTATGTAAATTATATTGAGAAAATTATTGCGACAAAATAATAAACTTTAATAAAATAATTATATTTTTTAAAGAAAAAAAGAGTTATATGCATTTTTTAACGCACATGTTTGATGTACGTTTAACTATTTTCGATATTCATTTAGATCATTCGATGTGTCTGTAACATAGTTCTCGAAATGAGTTTCGAGAGAATATCGAAAATTTATGCATTCGACTATTGTACAATCGCCGATGAATTTATAAAGTTAGCATGGTATTGAATTTCTTAATTTTTTAAATGATGTCTCTTTTGACAGTTTCAAAAGTGGTGACCTCAAATCATCCTTTCCATTCACTTCCATTGCTTTGCTTCAAAAAATGACAATAAAGAATCATCAACATAGCATGACAATTAAAATTCTAAAAATTAGCATGGTATTGAATTTCTTAATTTTTTAAATGATGTCTCTTTTGACATTAAAAAAATTTAAAAGTTTATTAGAAAATTTTTTAAATGACGTTAAAAATTATTGTCACGAAAAATAATAAATATTAATAAAATAATTGATTTTTCTTAAGAAAAAAGACGAGTTATACACTTTTTTTAACACACGCGTTTGATGTACATTTAACTATTTTCGATATTCATTTAGATCATTCGATGTGTTTGTGATATAGTTTTTTAAATGAGTTTCGAGAGATTATAGAAGGTTTATAGTATATATTTATAAAAAAAACAACTAAATAAATCACCAAATGAAAAAAGTGATATATATATATATATATATATATAAACACTAAACAAAGAGCAACTCTACCACGAAGCAATTTTGCTCCTGGCATGCTCTTGGGTGCCAGGAGAAATTAATTTTTATTTTTATTTTTATTTTTAATATTGGGTGATGCATAATATTATTTTTTTAAGAAAGTAATGTAAATTATATTAAGAAAATTGTTGCGAACATTAATAAAATAATTATTTTTTTAAAGAAAAAAGACGAGTTATACGCATTTTTAACACACACGTTTGATGTACATTTAACTATTTTTGATGTGATGGATAACGGTCATATTTTTCATTTTAATGAGGTAAAAATGTGGCTTAAATAGGGGCTTAATTTGTTTAGTTATAACCAATTTTTTTCACTTCTTGTATAAATTTAAATAAGGATAAATTAGGAAAGTTTTGGCAATTTTATTTTTCAATAATATTAAATAAGATTTATTAATCAATGTGATAAACAAAATCAGTCAATGTAAATGGGACGAGTGGAGTATAATACATCATACATGATGAAAACCAAGCAAGCACATGCTTGGTGAGGGTTGAAATCATATTCTTAATGAATTTTGAAAAAGTTGAAGAAATATGTTGTTAAAAAATTGCAGATTTCATGAAATGGGTTATTAAAATAAATTAAAATTAAAATGCAAATAGGGTCTAAATATGTCGTAATTATCATGCTCTCCTCGTGAAAATATGTGCACTTCAATATTTTTTTTATTTTTGTATCAGTCCAAGCCGAGAGGTATAACTTAGTTTTTTAGAGCTAGAAATTATATATATATAGTTTTCATCCGTACAATGCACGGGCTATCATTTTTTAGGTAATATTAATAGGCCAAAATATTTATTTATTTTTCTCAATAAATCTACAAATTTGATTAATTGTTGCGTAAAGGAATGGAGAAAAAAATATATATATATATTTTTATAGATGTTGCGTAAAGGAATGGAGAAAAGTAGAAAAATAGTATAACAATCTATAACTCATATAAATTATAATGTGATAATAATTTTATTAGGAATTTGTACGTCCAAAAAGAAAAATAATTGACGTCATTCACATAAAAAAATTTTAAAGAAAATTATGTAAATTATATTGAGAAAATTATTGCGACAAAATAATAAACTTTAATAAAATAATTATATTTTTTAAAGAAAAAAAGAGTTATATGCATTTTTTAACGCACATGTTTGATGTACGTTTAACTATTTTCGATATTCATTTAGATCATTCGATGTGTCTGTAACATAGTTCTCGAAATGAGTTTCGAGAGAATATCGAAAATTTATGCATTCGACTATTGTACAATCGCCGATGAATTTATAAAGTTAGCATGGTATTGAATTTTTTAATTTTTTAAATGATGTCTCTTTTGACATTAAAAAAATTTAAAAGTTTATTAGAAAATTTTTTAAATGACGTTAAAAATTATTGTCACGAAAAATAATAAATATTAATAAAATAATTGATTTTTCTTAAGAAAAAAGACGAGTTATACACTTTTTTTAACACACGCGTTTGATGTACATTTAACTATTTTCGATATTCATTTAGATCATTCGATGTGTTTGTGATATAGTTTTAATTTTTTAAATGATGTCTCTTTTGACATTAAAAAAATTTAAAAGTTTATTAGAAAATTTTTTAAATGACGTTAAAAATTATTGTCACGAAAAATAATAAATATTAATAAAATAATTGATTTTTCTTAAGAAAAAAGACGAGTTATACACTTTTTTTAACACACGCGTTTGATGTACATTTAACTATTTTCGATATTCATTTAGATCATTCGATGTGTTTGTGATATAGTTTTTTAAATGAGTTTCGAGAGATTATAGAAGATTTATAGTATATATTTATAAAAAAACAACTAAATAAATCACCAAATGAAAAAAGTGATATATATATATATATATATATATAAACACTAAACAAAGAGCAACTCTGCCACGAAGCAATTTTGCTCCTGGCATGCTCTTGGGTGCCAGGAGAAATTAATTTTTATTTTTATTTTTATTTTTAATATTGGGTGATGCATAATATTATTTTTTTAAGAAAATAATGTAAATTATATTAAGAAAATTGTTGCGAACATTAATAAAATAATTATTTTTTTAAAGAAAAAAGACGAGTTATACGCATTTTTAACACACACGTTTGATGTACATTTAACTATTTTCGATATTTATTTACATCATTCGATGTGTCTATGACATAGCTCGCGAAATGAATTTCGAGAGAATATAGAAGATTTGTGCATTCAACTACCGTACAATTGTCGATAAATTTATAAAGTTAGTTTGTTATTGAAATTCTTACTTTTTTAAATGATGTCTCGTTTGACATTAAAAAAAATTTAAAGTTTATTAGGAAATTTTCTAAATAATGTTAAAAATTATTGTCGCGAAAAAATAATAAATATTAATAAAATAATTGATTTTTTTAAATAAAAAGACGAATTATACACATTTTTAACACACACGTTTGATGTACTTTTAACTATTTTCGATATTCATTTAGATTAGAAGGCTGCCGTAAAGGGCAAGTTGAATTTTGAAATTATTGTCGTTTTATATTGTAGGGTGGGGTGGGTTGCGAGGGCGTGGGTAACGCAGAGAGAGGAGGAGAACAAGAATTAATTTTATTTATTTTTTAATTATCATTTGGGAAAATTGCACCCCCCCTCCCCAAAAATTGATCAAGTAGTCAATCTCTAAAAGTGAGCAAATTGGTCTTCAAACTTAAGTTTGTTGTCCCAATTATGTAGTCTTATTTCTTTATTGAGAATATTTTGTTTTGTTTATTTACTAATATTATATTATTTAGAGCCTGTTTGAGCCACATTATTTTAGATTATTCGATATATTTATGATACGATTTTTGAAATGAGTTTCGAAAAAATACAGAAGATTTATGGTAGATATTTATAAAAAAAAAACTAAATAAATCACTTAGTGAAAAAAAAATGATTAAAAAAAAATAAACTAAACAAAGAGCAACTGTGATGAACGGAGCAATTTTGCTCCTGT